AACAAAGAGCGCTGTTAGGGTAGGTTGCAGTCTGACACCATGCGAGGGAGTTCATGCTTAGTTCCCAGGGTGCGGATGCTCACAATTTAATTGTGCCGAATTAACGACATTCTGCAAGACAACCAGCTGGTTTGCAACTACCGGTCCCCGGGTGACTGTTGGGTATTCAGCTAACACACACACTGTGATATGATGGAACAGCGTCAGAGATGTCAAAAAGAACTCAATCACAAACAATCTTTTGTCTGGCAACGACAGAGGATATTTACGTTACATTAATTCTTTACTGGGTAAATGATAATTTCACGGTTACAACATGAACACTGATATTCAAAAAATTCACTGAGTTAAACTGACTTAATTTGGCGGGCTTGAGAACATACACATACCTGAGATATGATGGGACAGCAACAGAGATGTGACGCTGCTTCTTATACACGAGTTTATATACGGCTAACTGGCAACTCAGGCGCTACACTGGCCAGAAAGGCTAATCATGCAATGACAGAAATTACATTCAACTCAGTCGCTGTACATTTAACTATGAAAATCAATGCCATGGGTCAGGTGAATTTCTTAGTCTATTTTTATAATCTAATCAGAGATTGAGCTTGCCAGGAAAAAGTGAAATGGACATCAAATACACACACTAACAACAGTATTTTCACAAACTCAGTGAAACTACAAACAAGGAACTATTCACGGGGATATGTTAGATTTTGGAGATTATACAGGTTGACAGAATTGTTCAGAAGATTAATGACTTTATTAAATAGGCAACTGACACTAACTATGCTACAAACTTCAGATTCTCTGATTTTTTAGGCATCAAAATAATCTAATTTCAGCAGTACTTAGAAACTCCTAGCTATCCCCAAGGACGATATAAGGACATGCCACTCGTACTGGCAGACTCGACACTCACTTACTTGACAAGTTTTACTAACAATAAAGACCGTTGTAGCTTTCAACATCACTCACAAGGGGTCTTTAATGTTCCATCTGTAATCAGATATATCTAAGTTGCCGTAACAGGTACGACTACAGTTACAATTTCAAATTCTGTGTCGTTATACTAAGGAATATGGAGACTCGGGTGCACTCTAAGATTGGGAGAAAACGAAGGACTCAGACGTCCTGAACCGATGAGAAATTGACTCCTTAGATGGGGGACTCAATAAAAAAGCATAGCTACATGTCTTGTGGGCTATTGAGCGTAATATGAATTGTCTGATTTTACGTTAATTGACATGTACGACCGTGGTCATTACACTACCACCTGGGAAGATATTGGAAGCATAATGAATTGTCTAATGGTAGACACTGCTGCCATCTGGCATCACGAAAGTGTGACCAAGTCCCAGGTTGCTGATCGGACTTTCTGCCTCATTTACACACAATTACAGGGTTTCAATTGTTTTTCTTACTCTGACAACACAACATACATATATTGTTACTCAATACTGATTTATTTATTTATTTATTTTATTTTGTATGGTTCTTTATTATTATTATTATTATTATTATTATTACTATTATTATTATTATTATTATTATTATTATTATTATTATTATTATTATATTTTTTTTATTATAAACCTTATTTACGATGAACCAATTATTACCATTATTGTTATTATTATTATATTTTCGCCCCCAGGCCCCAATTTGGGTCAGTGAGTGACCTGTGTCCGGGTGGGCTCTAACTACACCTACGGGTAAAGAAAAAATCTTGAGTTATCTAAAAAATAAAGAGCGTTTAATGATGCAATTGAAACAAAGATTTGAGAAAGAAGGTATTGAGACACACATTGCCACAGATGATGCTGATGTACTAATTGTTCAAAGTGCTATCAATGGATCTTATCAGCATAACTCCATTGTTGTAGTTGGACAGGATGTAGATCTTCTAGCTCTGCTTATTGTTCTTACTCCAGAAGACAGGTATATTATGTATTTAAGAGAAGCTCACAGAAACCTTATGGCAAGGTTTTATAGTCCTCGAGATTTAAAACGCTCAAATATTCTACAGAACTACAAAAAAATCAGTTTCGTTGGCTCATGCTTTAAGTGGTTGCGACACAACGTCCTCATTTTACGGGTTTGGAAAAATGAAAACTTTCAATGGCTTCAGTTTTCCACAATTCTCAATCGACGCTGGAGCCGCTGGAGAGCATTTCATTCTCCCTCTGTACAAAGCCCCACAAACTGAAACAAATCCCAATCATTACAGATTTCACCCTTTTTTACAAATCTCTGAGCCACTCAAATAATGCTGTGTTATTATCAAGTCTCAGGCTCACTTCTGCAGCAGCTAGACAACTTTCTTATCGTGTCTTTCACCAAGTTCAGACTTGGCGAGGAGAAACACTTCAGCCTGAGTCTTGGGGCTGTAAAAAAATGCAATTCTCTGTCACCTGTCTACACAACTGAGGCACCAGCCCACGAAAATATTTTGAAACTTATTTCATGTAGTTGCAAAATAGGGTGCGGGAAGTGGTGTGGTTGTGTAAAATCTGGATTACCCTGTTCTATAACGTGCAGTAATTGTCAAGGCCAAAGTTGTCTGAATTTTGAAAGTGCAGATGATCTCATTGATGACCTTAGTGTGACTAATGAAGAGGATGTTTCAAGTATTTAACGGCATCATCTTAAACTAGAAAAATTGGATTAGACCTAATAGGGAAACACTATGAAAAACGCGCCAAAACTCTACCTCAAAGGTGGTGTGGAAATGAGTTTATGTTACAGATTTAATGAATGAGTCGGAAAAAGCTTTGATAACTATTTTAAGGAAATATATTTCACTGAGCCTATAGAGAACTTTACGCTCTACAATTTCAAATAAATGCATTTGTAATAAAAACTAGGCGTTTTTGAGTTATTTGCCGAAAACCTTGTGCGAGTATCATTTTTTTTACTACACGCAAAAAGTTCCCCCCCGAATTCAGACATGGATTACACAAAAACTGTAACACCTATGGAAAAAATGAATAGAAAATATCTTATTTAAAATCTAATTTTCAGTATCTTAATATCAATAAAATATTATCGTCTGATGCATAATTTAGCCGAAAATGAAAAAATAATTAAGTAAGCGTAACCCCCTTTTTGGGGTGGCGTTTGGGCCAACAGGGGGGATGCTCCCCCCAGACTGCGGGGAAGTCTTTTGATCTTGATTTATATAGCCTTCATGAGTATGTATGCAATATTTCCACCAAAAATCCTAATTTGACTGGACTACATATATGATTATTGACGACCACAGTTCTCCACTCTAAACGCTCTCGAGCTGTTTTTACCAATCCTCTAAGATTTTGTATCTCTCTGGGGACCCAGTTTTTTATTTCTCTCATCCATCCTAGTCTATGCCTTCCTCTGGCCATCTTACCATCAACTTTGCTTAGTAATATTTCTGTTATTGTCTCCTCATACCTAATTATATTACCAAATTTCTAATTATACGTTTCTGTACATTTCAAGTATTCCTCTTGAAATTTTTGCAACTTTTAGTACTTCTTCATTTGTTTTCCTGTCAGTGTAGTTTATTCTTATCATGTGCTGATAACACCACATTCCAAAGGCCTTTGGTGTCTGCTAAAAGTGTCCACGCATCTAACCCAAACATTGGTCCTAGCCATAGACAATAAAGCTTTTAAGCAGGCTTTCTTTTCCTCATATTGAAGTTAATGTTCCTTATCATTACGTGTTGGTATTTTAGATTATTAAATGCTGTTTTTGTTTGCCCTACTCTGGTTTTGATTTCTTCCATACATCTACCATCATAGCTACCGTTACTTTCCAAATACACAAAATTTTCCACTTGTTTAAGTTCCCTATAGTCTACTGTAATTTTATTGTAGGATTTTTTTTTCCAAACTGGAAACTAACATTACTTTCTCCTTTACGGCATTAACTCTTAAATCATATTTTTCACCTTTTCCACCAATCTGTTCACGAGTTTTTGTAATGCCTCTTCACTATCTGTCATATGAGCAGTATCATCTGCATTGTGTATATTTGATATTACTTTACCATTATATTTTTTTCCTTAAGATATCTGTAAATATATTATACAATATTAGAGTTATAACACATATATGACTTACTCCTTGTTTAACTATGAACAAATTAGTAAGTTCATTATTTACAAACACTGCATCCTCCTGTTGCCAGTAAGTTGGTTGTGCGTTACCTTATCAATCGCTTTTTTTTTAAATCAACAAAGACGTAGAAATTTTTAGAACCTGTAAAGCCCTTTCTCTCAAATTCTCAAACCAAATATAAATTCTCTAGTTCCTTTTCCCTTTTCTGAATTTAATTTTGCTTTTCAGATGACAAACTTTCTATTCTAAATTTTATTCTCCTTAAAATTTTGTTTACTACAACTTTGTAAGCATGACTTATGAATCTTAATGTTCTAAGCTGTGTTCACACTAAGGATTCTTGCATTTTTGGCAAGTATTTCAAATTACATATTTTAGTCAAACATTTTATCCCATTCTTGCCCTTTTGTTTATAAATTCTGCTGGAAGCTGATTATTCCCACAAGCTTTATCCATTTTCTTTAAATATTCATATGTCATCTACTTCCTTTTAGCCTCGTTCTTCTTATGACATAAAAGTTTCCGCCACTCTCTAACATCACTCCTTTTGTTTTATTATTAAATTGTTGTCCTGTTCCTTGTTCATCAAAGTCACACTATAGCAATGCTAAAAATCTATTTTCTGATTCAATTTCATATTCTATCCCTGCCCTGTTTTATGTTTACCTATATCCCATTTGATTTGATTTTTTTTTATAATTTGGGAAGTCTTGACGTGGAATGTAATATGCTAAACCTGCCATGACTGGAAATTAGTAGACTGTGTCATAGCACTAATGCTGGTATGATTATCATTTGGAAATATAAATTCACATTTACGGTTATAACGAAGTGTCACTCTACTTCAGTAAAACATATTTTTTTCTATGTTACATTGAATTCTGGTAATTGCAGGAAGTAAGTATTGGTACTGGCCCTTTCATTCTGAGTAAATCCCGAGCTGACGTGGTGGACTTCACTGTGCCAATACTGACGGACTACTGGAGGATCCTGGGTGCTCGAGGGAAGCCAGAGGTGGACCCGTGGGGCTTCCTGCTGCCTCTGGCGCCGCTAGTGTGGGTGGTCATCCTGACAGCACTCCTGGTGTTAGCAGCGGTTATTTTTTTTATATCTTCGTTTTTCTTTCCCAAAACAAAAAGTCAAGAGTCTTTGTTACAGATCTTGTTCTCTTACTGCCGTATACTGCTACAGCAAGGTTGGTTAAAATTTAATTATTAACATGAAAAGTAATTTGGCGCACTAGAAAGCTAAATAAACTTGCCTGTCCTAACGTAGACTAGATTAAGTTTAGTTAATAGAACTAGATATAATTAAGAATATTAGAATTGGGGATGAAGCAAGACGTAGATTAGTATGACCGACAGTTAATGAAGCTCTGTTAGCACACTGCTTGAATATGTAAAGAGATTCCAAAGTAATCTAAAGCTCAGACATAAAGTAAACGTTAACTTATTTGTTAAAAACGAAAGAATGTGTTGCAAGAGACTGTTCCGCTGTTTGATGATTTAATTGAATATATTTGAAAGGATATCACGACTGATAGAGCAATTTCATTTTAAATAAAGAACAATATTTTACTTAGATTTCATGGTATAACTTCCTCAACAGATATCTTAGTGTCTGATGACTGGTGGTGGGAGCGGGTAGTGTTGGCGGTGTGGATGTTGATGACGCTGGTGTTAACACGGAGCTACGCCGGCAACCTCATGGCCCTCCTGGCCGTGAGACACATCTCAGAGCCTTACCACAGCCTTCGGGAGGTGCTTGATGACCCTTCGGTTACCATGGTGTGGTTGAAAGGCTCATCCGTCGGACGCTACCTTACTGTGTGTAAATTAAACACTTTTTGTTGTATTTTTTTTTAATGTCTGTTATGTCAGTTCCTCATACAGAAGTGGTTGGAGTAACCAATATTTTTTTGTGAAATAACCTCATCTGTTGATAACACTGGTCAACAGCCAAAATGGTTCACATATGAGATCATGCTCACACAACTAATTTCATATTGCTGAATTCGAATCTGATATTTGTTTTGTTCTATCAGACCAGGTTTTATAAAAAAATCAATAGGTACAAATATTTAATATTCCATCACGTGTCGTGCAAAAGATGAGATTATCTCATGTGACTGTGCTTTCATGACTAATTTCATATTAATGAATATTAATTGGATGTTTCATTCTACCATCAGACCTACTTTCTTAAAGAATAAAAAAAATAGTAAATATAGTAACATTATCGCGTCATGCAAGATACAATTTTAAACCTATCACAGATAAGCTCATAAAAAATTGTACCAAAAAACATAAGTTCAAATCCTTTATAATGACAAAATATGAAGTTCTAAAAGTGCTTCTGAACTTTACTCTTTCTCTTGTACAGCTTGCTCTCTTCTCGTTGCAGTGTCCAGCAATAGTCGCCCATCATGTTAGGACTGAATTGTCCCTGATATCTGCTCTCCATTAGGGCGATATCTTGATGAAATCTTTCGCCGTGTTCATCACTAACGTCTCCAAGGTTACCTGGGAAAAATTCAATATGAGAGTGGAAAAAATGCAATTTCAAGGACATCCTTGCTCCCAATGCATGATAATTCTGAAGCATGGTTGTTACGATTTCTTTGTAGTTGTCAGCACGATAGTTTCCAAGAAAATTCTTTGACACATTGACAAATGATTCCCATGCTTTTTTCTCCAGTGGGTTCAATGTTTTGGTGAATTCGCTATCATTAACTAGTATACGAATTTGTGGTCCATTCAAGACACCTGCTTTCAACTTGGCTTCGGAAACCACACCACCTAGTTTCTGAGATAAGTATAGAGTCCCAGCACCGAATTGATCCATAGCTTTGATGAAATTTTTAGCCAAACCGAGCTTTAGATGCAGTGGAGGCAAAAATATCTTTTCTGGATCTACAAGCGGAATGTGAGCACAGTTAAACCTTCCAGGCGCATCTCTTGGTCTTGTCGGCCAATCCTTTCTCACATAGTGCTCTGCATCAGCTCTGCTGTTCCACAAGCACAAAAAGCACATGTGCTTTGTGTAGCCACTTTGAAGGCCCAGTAGTAAACTGATGACTTTGAGATCGCCACATATCTTTCACTGGTGTTTCTCATACTCTATAGCGGCCAACAGAATTTTTATTGTTTCATAGCTCTCAGTCATTTTTGTTGCGTGTGCTATTGGGACAGATGGAAGCCGATTGCCATTGTGTAAAAGAACAGCTTTCAGAGAGTCTTTTCCTGAGTCTATAAACAGCCTCCAATCCTCTGTCTTGTATGTTTCAGACTTGCAGAGTTGTTGCATGAGAGATACTGCGTCCTCGCAATAACAAAGGTTGTTTGCCATCTTGAAAAATGCAGACAGCTGTCTATGTCGGTAACGCGCTGTAGTGATATGCACTCCATCTTCTAGCAGGTTACGCTGCTTTAGTCTGGATCCCAAACTTCAGCTTTTTCTTTAGACAAGTTTAGGTCCCTGATGAGATCATGAAGCGCTTCTTAAGTAAATAGTTTAGGCCTGGTATTTTCAGAGTCATCCTGGTAGTCGTTTTCCATTGAGGTAGAGGTAGAATCGGAATCACTCAATTCTTGTTCAGTCGGTGGATTTGGGACTGGAAGTTCAGCACTGTGCGGTACTGGTCGGATTGCAGAAGCAATATTGGGGTACTGTACCTTGCCTCGTGTCTTGATTTTTATTCCCTTAATATTTGTGAGACAGAAGTAGCAGTCACTACTGTGGTCTTTAGGTTCACGCCATATCATTGGTACAGCAAACGGCATTCCTGAACTTCGTTTACCACACATCCACTCGCTCAGGTGGTTAACACAAGGCTTACAGGCTACATGAGGTGCCCATTTCTTGTCTTGGTCACCCAAATGACATTTGAAGTAACTTTTGTAGTTCAGTCGAACAGCTTTTGTGATTGGTTTCTTGAGGCTACCAGGAGTGAAGGCACCACATATGTAGCAAAAACTGTCAGCACCGTTCACACACTTGCGACGTTCCATGTTTTGTTAATTTCAGAGTAATTACAAATCATGCAGGTGTAGATATGCTATATCATGAATCAGCAAACTGAAACAAACAAAAAAGCACAAATCAGGACAAAATAATTGCATAAGTGGAGCCAATGAGCATATAAATTACTGTATGAATAGCATGGTACACTAAATATATAGATATGCTGGTTCTGGAAAACTGAGCCTGATACAGCTATACGAATGTCATAATTGAGTTCAGCACATACAATTACACTAGAATCAGACTGTTTTGATCCAGAGCCATGAGAATTTTTTTTTATGTTGACCAGTGTAATCAATGCAAAACTAATGAATTACCATAGTTAACGAAATAAGAATCACACATGAATACAAGAGTTGATCAATAAATTCGTTGTTTGAGAGTAAAAGGCAGTGCACCTTCAAATAATTTCTAACCTTTATTTTAATCTCCCCAATCTGTAATGCAACTGAACTAGTGACGCTTCAAAATCTTTATCCCTCTTTTAGAAAAACCTTTTTGTTGATCCCCTAACCAAACACTAGAAAAACAATCACTTCCTGATCCATAGAAAATCTCCGTCCCCGATTGTGTTTCTTCGGATTAGGGTACTAATAGTCACGAGGAGTAAAGTCTGGCGTATACCCGTGGGGTGATTGTTGAGGTAGTGTATAGTTTATCCCGCATCGCTGATAACAAGCACTGCAACTGAAGACACACCATGTCGCAACTACTCTCGCTGTTCATTTTATTGCCTGAAGCAGTTTTCCAATCAACTTTTTATGTCTCTTACCTGTGATGGTAACGCTTCTCTCTTAGTAATCGACAAGCAGGATTACTTTCCCAGTCCAGATGATGAAAAGTCATGCCTTATCCTGACGAGGGAACGCCATGAAATTTCTTGGGAAGTGGCAATGGTGTTTGTTTCCAAGCATTGCTTTGGTGTTTCAATTCATCATCGAAATGTTGAACTTATATTTTATCCAATGTGATAAACTAGTATATAATGTTTCCTGGGGTAAGACAGAAAAGTTATAAAAGTAATTTTGACGTCCTCAGTCAAGTTTTAGTACGTTAATTTGTCAACATTCGTGACACCCACCTTATAGTCACCTTACTGAGTTTTACGTTATCATTTAATATTGTGTTTACCGAAGTATGTAATGCCAACAGACTCAGAAATGAATGGCTCATTCTCCGATCGTTCATGGCGAGATTACGCACTTTTCCATTAATTTCCCTAGAAACAAACTGTAACGATTACCTGAGGTGGTGGACTTGTTTACATGAAGCTCTTGCTCTCTCTCGTTTAGATTCTACGCACCACTTAACAACAGTGAAATAAGCTGCAGAAACGTTCCTTAATGTTTGTTCATGTTTGCATGAACTTCCTGCGTAGTTCTACCCTACAAAAGGAGATATCTGATGATTTCGATTTCACTGTTGATATGCCTCAAGCAAACAATAAAATTTAATAAACACTATCAAAACAACGTTTTATTTTAGAAAAGTACAATTTAACCCCGATATTTGAATAGAAGTTTCTTGATCAACCCCTGTGTCGAGGGTTTAGTCTGAGTTAGATGATTTTAGAGCCTATAGATCTAATGCCCTCTAGTTCCTTGCATTGTTTTTAATCTATAGTTATTATTAACCTTGAGTTACATGACATCATACTGAGCACTAGTGATATCTCCAAACAGTATGTTATCTAATTATATCCTTTATATTTACACTGTCAATTAATTATCAAAATTTAGCTCCTTTTTTTTTAAACTTCTTGTGAAGTTTATGTTAATAAAAGCTTATTTTTATTAATAAAATGTTATTTTACTTCACTTTATCATCTGTATATCCTCTGGTTTAATGAAGTGAAGTTCCCATTATGATATATAAAAAACAAAACTAAAAGGTATTAATATCTATATAGTCTCTAAAATCATCTAACTCTGACTAAACCCTCGACACCTTGTTATGCAGAGTCAGTTTGTATTATATGGGCGTTTTTTTATAATTCCAATCGGACATATTTTCACGGCTAAGGGGTGACTTTAATCGCTTAACAACAATGATTTCGTTTCATGTCTGGTATTAATTCCAGGAAGCTGAGTCTGGCATATTCCGTGAAGTTGGCGATCGGGAAAAGGAAGGTCGCCTATTATGGAGAACACAGGCCCAGTTCCCCAATGACATCGACACCTGGGTGAGGAGAGGCACCCATGTCCTCATGGAGGTACATTATGGCTTGAAGATGTCTTTGGGTAAAGACTACACGAAAACAGGTGATGTTTAAAACAAATTACTATGTACAGTATACATAAGAGTATTTGGTCTTAGCTTTAATCCGTAGTTGTTCGATTTGATTTGGTTTACCCAATTATTAGAAATATTAAGAGAATTTGCTCAAAATCAGGCACATCATAGACTCCAGTGGGTGCCAAGTTCTATAAATTATATGCTAGGTCAGCCAGACAGAGTCCCAAATACGCTCGTTGTGCGGCCACACTTTTATTTCACTAATTAATTACTTTCAAGATTGCGAATGATAATCGTCAGTTCTCATTTGGAAATAAAAGGATATTAATTTTTTTCAAGTTTGGAGGGTGTTTATTAATACCAGTACAGTACATTGGCAGAGTATATATATATATATATATATATATATATATATATATATATATATATATATATATATATATATATATATATATATATATATATATATATATATATATATATATATATATATATATATATACATATGTATATATATGCTGATAACCACAAGGAAAGAAGAAAACACGAAGTTCCCAAGCGCAAGATGTGAATTACACGAAAGCGCTTGGGAACTTCGTGTTTTCTTCTTTCCTTGTGGTTATCAGCATATACCTAGATCACGCGCACCTACAGTGATTTACTTGCATAAATGTATATATATATATATATATATATATATATATTAAACACCTCAACCCGCCAGGATTCGAACCCATGGCCCACGAGCCCATGACTGTGACCGGAGAACACTAACCGCTGGACCACCAGGATACTAAAAGCAGTCCTAGACTCTGTTATATTTCACACAAAGCCTGTTCAACGAGCTTATGGAGCCGTGAACCTCTAATGGGGACTACCCGTATAACGTAGGTGGTCAGAGTAACGTTTTACCAAATCCGGCTTCGAAACACGAGGTTCCATAAAACACCACCCATCATCACTACAGATAACATCATCCATCATCATTACATATAACACCACACCTCATCACTATATATAACAATATCCATCATCACTACATATAACATCATCCATCATCACTACATATAAAAGCATCCATCATCACTACATAATAACACCATCCATCATCACTACAGATAGGTGAAGTAGTTTCCGCGATTCTAGAGCGGACACACACAGTAGGGCACCACCCTACGGGAGGCTCCACATTGTCTCACTGTAGTACATTAGGGTAGACCACATTTTTGGTTTTGCCATTAGTAGCAAGTCTGTATAGATTTTTGCCAGTTCCCACTCTGTAGCATCCAACATAGAACTGTCCATGAGAAAAGGAAGGAAACACTTGCTATCCATGCCAAGTTTGGTCAGGGCGGTTCATTCGCTAGGCCTCAGTAGGACGCCACCCTCCGAGAAGCTCCACATTGTCTCACTGTTCATTCCCCAAAACTTCTTCTTCCATCACTAGTTCATTAACGGCGTATATAAGTTCCACCAAGTCTTCACTACAACGGTACAGCCAAGTATATTTTTTTAGCATTAAACTGTTATTATTTTATTGTCAATAATCACTACATATAACATCATCCATCATCACTACATACAACATCCATCATCACTACATATAACATCATCCATCATCACTACATATAACACCATCCATCATCACTACATATTACAACATCCATCATCACTACATATAACACCATCCATCATCACTACATATAACAACATCCATCATCACTACATATAACACCATCCATCATCAATACATATAACACCTTCCATCATCACTACAGATCGGTAAAGTATTTTCCGAGATTCTCATGCGAACACGCAAACAAACAAACCCCCCTACAAACAGACGGGCGGCTCATATGCTAGGCCACGGTAGGACGCCACCCTCCAGGAGGCTCCACTTTGTCTCACTGTTCAGTCCCCAAAACTTCTTCTTCCACCAATAGTTCATTAACGGTGTATGTAAGTTCCACCATGTTTTTCACTACAATGTTACAGCAAAGTATATTTTTTAGCATTAAACTGATATTATTTTAAGTCTAATCATCACTACATATAACAACTTCCATCATCATCACTACATATAACACCATCCATCATCATCACTACATATAACACCATCCATCATCACTACAGATCGGTAAAGTAGGTTCCGAGATTATCGTGGGGACACACAAACACATATTTCTTTGTTTATATATATATATATATATATATATATATATATATATATATATATATATATATATATATATATATATATATATATATATATATAAAATCGCACGGGAAAAGGGAAACAACGGAGCACCTTAGCTTTCGTCTTTATTCAAGACATCTTCAGAGGCAACTGGATTACGTGGACAGAGAGAGGCATAAATATACAGGGTGACCTTAAAAACATAAGGACAGGTCATAATGATGTCATCCACTAATCCCCACACCAACACACACGTAGAGGAGCTTAAGAGAAGGGGGGTGACGTGACTAGTCAGGTCAGGTCAAAAATATGGGACCCACTAAATAACTATCATACATCAAGATCAAAGGTTTTCAAAGCATTTTTAACCTTGGGCCACTGACAAATAAATTTATGTAACATATTATCAGTTTTGAACTGACCATCACTAAGGTTTATTGATTTTAATTTCTTAATCAAACTAGCTTCAGCCAGAAGTCTTTCTGTGACACAAGATGATTTAAATACTTCTGAGCTTTTTTTTTTTTTGCAGGGATTACCCCACCGGGGCACAGGTCACTGACCCACATTGGGCCTGGAGGGCGAAAATGTAATAACAATAATAATAATAATAATAATAATAATAATAATAATAATAATAATAATAATAATAAATAATAATAATAATGATATAATAATAATAATAATAATAATAATAATAATAATAATAATAATAATAATAATAATAATAATAATAATAATAATAATAATAATAATAATAATAATAATAATAATAATAATAATAATAATAATAATAATAATAATAATAATAATAATAATAATAATAATAATAATAATAATAATAATAATAATAATAATAATAATAATGGTAAGAGAAACAATTGAGATCCTGCAATTGTGTGTAAATGAGACAGAAAGTCAGATGAGCAACCTGGGACTTAGTCACAATCTTTGTAATGCCATATAGCAGCAGGGTCTACCATTAGACAATACATTATGCCTCCAATATCTTCCCAGGCGGTAGTACCACCCTGAATGCATTTTTGCTTTCAGACCTGTTGTTACACTAAGGGTTAAATAGACAGCCAGGCCATTCAACCGTAAACCCATGCCATGTGGGTCATAGGTGGATCTGAGTATTGATCTTTTCTGGACAGGACGATGCCTCGCTATAAAATTTGCGTATTTTATAACACAATAACATTTAATCGGCAAAGCCTCTCAGAAAGAGAGTCGGTACGGCATATTTCTTTGGGATTATTTTGTTCTTAGGACTTTCAGTTCCCAGAAAACGACTCTTCATATCATCAATGTAGTCGTGTTTAGTCAAGTGAACGATTACAGAAATTTACCAACAATTTTCTGAAGTGTATTTCTCTTGGGAATCTAAAGTGGTGAACATCTGAGCCTGATGTATTTAATTTCCATTAAACCAGCCAAAAACTGAAAATTTATACGGTATTGTTACACAAAATTACCGTGTTGTTATTTCAAAACATGAGATACCGCACTCCAAGTTGTTGCCTGCTCGCTGCTTTGTGTAAGACTCGTTCCTGATCCGCAACGGCTTTATCATGACCTAACACCCTACATGGTTCTTCTTTGATGTCGCCATCATTACAGTCTTAACGGAGTCTGCCCACAAAGAGGAATTGTCAGTGGTACCGTCATATCGTACCACAAGTGACTGTTGTGTGAAAGTTAAGGATCATGCCTTTATAAAAATGCCTTATTTCTGTTACTGGTTACACATGTTAAGCATTTGTTAGACATCACACGTTTTGTCTATTGACCTCTGGCTCAGGAGCGAGGTGTGTGTGTGTGTGTGTAGGACCACACTGGACAAAACGACAAACCACTTAAGAGTGCCAGAAACATAACCAAGCAAGCAGCAACCCTGAGTCTAAGTGGATTTAACACAATGTAAAAGTAATAGTGAGGTATTTCACAGCCAACCATCTCCTGTGAATAGTGTTCAAAATTGTTCTTTTATATATTAATAATTGCAGAGAACTAAATTTTATGTCTCATGTGATACCGCTTGTGAGGACGCTAACTACAAGTATTTACCACGATGTTTTTAATTGAGTGTAACCCAACACGGTCAGGACCGGCTCACGTGACGTCATAGACCTGCTTAGTGGGGGAGGGAACGTACACGCTAGCCTACCTTAGTAGGTGCCTGCACGAATTTCCGTTAGTCCATCAGTCATAGTTTAACGTCGTACTGTAAAATATTACAAATTAAAGCGGGTTACCCACACCTGATGACTCATTAGGAACAGTGCAGATACAGAACACTGCTTAGTAAGCTTTCGATACAGAGGGAGGCAGCTGCAAAGTTAGGCACTCATTTATAGGGATCTAACTAGGATAGAGGTCGAGTGCTGTGTTCACTCTGCCATCGCATCTCTGAAGCATGATATCCCATATACAAATTCTTTTCCAGGAGAATGCTCATTCTACGAGTCAAAAGAGGAATTCCTGCCCTTAATATTTGCCATGGTTGGCCCAAAGAACAGTCCACTTGTACCAGCTATAAGTAAGAGGTACAGTAAACTCACGGACAAAATTTCGTATATTCCGATCAGGAGGTATTTTTATGCTGGATCTCTTAACTTTTCACTCTGTTTACCAACAGATGGCGCGCTTCTGAAAGTAGTTTTTGGTTTATGTTCGTGCATGTAGGTGTGTGTGTGTGTGTGTGTGCACAGGGTGGCGTAATGCATCTAGTGTGGCAACATTATGTTCGTGTTAAGATGCAGGCAGTACTTACTTCTTCTTGCTTCACCTACCGCTGCTGGCTAGCCCTTGTGGTGAACAGGGAAGCAACCTTGCGTAGGTCTTCCTCTGCCAGTACACAGCATCTTCACCATCAAGACACCTGCTGTGCCTCCTCGTGGCACCACACAGTAACTGGGTGCCTCATGGGTCCAGGCTAGACCAGCAAATCTCAGAGCAGCAGTGGACCCCAGAGAGATGGCACATAGGCCCACTGACATATGGAGACGCCCAGGCGCCTATCACCACTGTCCCACTGCCTTGCGGATTAACCTTGGTAGCAATAAGGCTACACGGTGGAGCCCCACATCAGGCAGAGATGATTAGAGATCTCAAGTAAGACCCCAACGGTGGTGTAGGCGGAAGAGGTGACCAATATGGAAACCCAACAACTACACCGGCTGATGAAGGCCATGCAGGATGAACAGGCTACTAAGGCTAAATCCAACAAACTGGGCAACCATCAGTCCAATGCAACTCTCCCTCTCTCCAGTCGTTGCAACTCTTGCACCACTGGACCAGGAAAATGGAGAGCCAAGATGTGTGGCTACAACCTGCGCTCCTGCCTCACCACATAAATCAACTCTCGCACGGCCATATTCCAGCTCAACATACTTTTCATCATCATCAAAATCCCTATACGGGCCAAAAATTCTATAATGACAGATGAATGGCGATGGGGACAGGCAGAGATGACTGCCAGGAGTCTCCAGTCACAACTCTGCACATGGTCTGCATAGATTAGATGGTCGTTTAGGTGCTGGGATCTAGGCAGCAGTGCAATCAGACCCTGTTTGCGGGACTGAGCAGCCCTTTCCAGGAGCCATTCTGCTCTCCCCACATGGGGAGGGGGCTAGAAAGGGTACCCTGAACATAACCTGCCTAAAAAAGCAACCTGGCTGGGTAGCTGCACCCAGTAAGGTCAACTTAATGCGATCGAAAACATAATCACAATCACAGATCTAAACAAAAACAAACTATGCAACCTCTTATGGTCGTTATATGGAATGGCAGGACCCTTCTGGATACTGACACAAGAGAGCGCCCTAAAAGACGAATCACCGTTATGGCAAAAGAACTGTTTAGGTATAACATCGACAAAGCAGCCATTAGTGAGTTCCCGCTCCCAGACGAGGGTCGGCTCACAGAACGGGGTCCAGTTATACCTTCTGCTGGAAGGGTAAACCTGCTGTGGAGAGAAACTGCATTTTCGGAGTTGGCTTTTCCATTCGCCAATACATCCTCCTGTACATAGGCTAACTGAAATGTCTGTTGGGATCAACGAGTGCCTTATGATACTCCGAATCCCGCTGAATCACTCACGCCATGCCTTATTTATCAGTGCATACGCCCCAACACTGGATGTAGAGGATGACATCAAGGAGGCCTTTTATGCCGGCCTTGATAGAGTGCTAACGTCTATCCACAGAGAAGAAAAGGTTGTGCTCCTAGGTGATTTCAATGCCAGAGTTGGCAGAGATGTTGACATGTGGCAGGGAACCATAGGTAGAAACGGAGTAGGCAAGTGTAATCACAATGGCTTACTTCTCTTCAACAAGTATGTTGAACACAACCTAACTGTCACCAACATTTTGTTTAGGCAGGCCCTCAAGTCCAAGGGTTTTTGGTAACACCCACTGGCATCTCATTCACTGCATCATTGTCAGAAAAAGAGATCGCCGGGGTGTCCTCATCACCTGAGCCATGCGTGGTTCAGACCACTAGGACACAGATCATCTGCTCGTCAGAGCCAAACTTTTCCTCCTCGTCGCCCTAAAAAGGCGAAAGCAATAAGCCTCCAGAAGATGCTTTACCACCAAGATACTAGAGGATCCAACGGCATCACATGCTTTCAGAGAGCAGCTCAACGATGGGCTGATAAACAACCCAACAACAAACAACCAAAATCCCAGTGCCGAATTGGATCCCATCAAAGCTGTTATCACAAAAACCTGCAACGAGACCCTCAGCCATGTCAAAAGAAAACCCTAGGATTGGTTTGATGAAAATGTCCTGGAAATCGAAGTACTTGCCAACAATAAACGTGCTGAGTTCACTGAGTGGCAAAACAACCCAATGTCTCGGACCAAAGCTGATACCTTTAGTGAGAAGAAGGCTCCCACCTATCCACCACTGCAGACATCGATGAAGAAATCCAACATCGGATCTGATGTGCATCTCAAGCTTTTGACAGACTCCATACCCATTTTTTTAGCTATAGGGGGCTGCAATTTGCACGTGTATCAAGCAGTGGACCTCCCACCTTGCTGTATGGCAGCGAGTCATGGGTCACTTACAGGAGGCACCTCAAGGCACTTGAAAACTTTCACCTACTTTCACCTCCATTCAATCCTTCGAGTTCGCTGAGAAAACAAGAGAACAAATGCCAGTATTCTAGCTGACACCAACAACTACGTTGGACTGGCCATGTTACCCGCATGAACAACAGTAGGCTGCCAAAGCAACTACTTTACAGTCACCTAACGAATAGCAAACGTAACACTGGCGGCCAACGGAAAGGTATAAGGATAGTCTTATGACAAACCTGAAAAAGTGCCAAATCGGCCCCCTCACCTGGGAGAATACCATAACACTTGGAGGAGCACCACGCGAGAGAGAGTCAATACTTTCGAGTTAGCCCGACTGCATACCGAGGCAGACAAATACAGGTGTTGAAAAGACACTGACGACGCCCTTCGCGCACTAGATGTAGCCCTCCACACGTGCAATATCTGTGGACGGCCCTGCCGATCGCGTATCGGTCTTTCGAATCACCTCAAAGCTCACCAACGAAGGTGGCATCTCTAATAACTCATATCATTGTACAGTATCATAGCTGGATGATAGTCATACTCGATTCCATGTGATTACAGAGTAGTAGTATGTAGGTTTATGTGTGTGTGTTTGTTTGTGTTTGTATAATATACCAACACGCAAACAAACACACAAGACTATATATATATATATATATATATATATATATATATATATATATATATATATATATATATATATATATATATATATATATATATATATATATATATATATATATATATATATATACACTAACACACACACACACACACACACACACACACACACACACTTGGTCTTAATTATCGTGCCGGTTGTAGGACATTAATTCATCATTCATTTTTAATATGGATGGTTAAAATTGTACTTAGAAACATATCAAATACGTAATATATATATATGTATTTGTCACATATGCTGAGACAATAAACTTCACATGAATAATTACAACTGATTTGATATGTTCTGTTGTATAGCCGTCCATACACACACGTGCACATGTAAACCTACATGCAGGCACATGCATACATACACCAAAAACTACTAAGAGAAGCGCGCGATCTGTTGGTAAACAGAACAACTTGTTTATGAATTTTTAGACTCAAAAGTTCAGGGATTCAGAGTCCATATACCCCCAGATCGGAGCATACGATTAATATTACTTACACAAAAATATATATTTTTCGATACAAGACTGAACAGCTACTTTTACTGATAAATGTAAAATATTATCAATAGTGGTAATAGTGCTATTTTTTTTTTCATGCTTCAACTTCTTTACTTATTCAGTTACCAACACTTTTTGGAAATAAGTTTCATACATCATTTAATATCACCAAGAAGTAATGCAAGTTTTTCTATTTATGGCAATTATGTTTTCGACTAACAGGATTACGTCGATGACGGAAGCTGGGTTATTTTTCCAGTGGCTTAAAACAGAGGAGCCAAACTCCACCGTGTGTTACCGAACACCTACCAAGGTCACTGTCAAGACTTCTCTCTCTCTTACTAACATATGGGTAAGTTATTTCTTAAGTATTACCAAAAATTACAGTGTCTTTGATAATTGCTACAGTCTTAGGAAAGATATCATATTTGTTTTTATTCATAGATGTGAATCAATGTGCATTTATATCACGAGTGTCTTGGTAACTAACAAAGTCATCTTTTTGCACTTCAGGGAATGTACGTGATCCTCGCTGCTGGACACCTTGTCAGTCTGTCTGTACTGTGTCTTGAGCTTCTGAGCCTTCATCTTAAACATACTGGGATTAAATAACGTAGAGAATATAAAAAATAATAATATGCTATATTCCTATTTATATCTCACACATGAGTTATTTTTTCCATAAAACTTCGGAATTTAAATGTTGCCATACAAGTCTTGATGAAACAGCACGTTTAACTACTGCAGAGTTCAATGCATTATTTTCAAACCGTTTCTCAGTCATCTTAATGTCAGTCACTAAGACGCAGTGTATCATGTCTTTAAAAAAAATAATTAATTTAGATCCCATTGAGTAAGAACGCCTTCAGACACCCTCTTACCACATCTGAGTTATTTATTCCTTTTTAATTCACAAACATTATATTCTTTACCTTTATATTTTCTGATATTTTGGTCTGCAGGTAATTAAAATAATTTATCTGTATAACTAAACACTACAGAGACTACTACAGTTTTTGCTGAGATATTGTGTAATTTTTCCTGACTTTAATGCTACTGTATGCAATAAATGTAGAGACAAGGGAAATGTATTACTTATTTTCATAATTAGACTGTAAAAAAGAGGAGTAAAATGCTTGTGGTAAAGACGTGGACAGCAGGAGTTGTCTTGAGGAATTTTCCGAAGAAAATTTTATATTTTTAGCATTCCAAATATATAATTTCCTATAATCTAAATAATTTATTTGAGACGTGTTAATTGAAAAAGCAATATACTTTGGATATTTTTAACAGTTCATAGGAACGCCAATATCACATGCATTTGTATTCCATATTCCTGTAATTCATCTAAAGTTGTGTCTACCGATTACCTGGAGATATGATTTACCATCACAGTCGCAGATAACTACTGTATATTGCAAAGTTGACTAGAATGACGTGGTGTGCTATTTAACCTTGATAACGCGGTTGCCCAAAAGTTTTAGCTGTAAAGAATTTGGAGCATCGCTGGTTTAAGTGAATTTCAGTTCAATGAAAATTACTTTATGTCAAAAGTAAATCAATTTGAATATATACAGTCCTTCACTCCCTAAATACGATCTCTTTTGTTAAACCCTTGTTCTCCTATGGGAATCTATACAATCACAAACACTACTATTTTTTATTTTTTTTTAAACATAAATACTTTTATCGTTAATGATGTTCCATCATGTCTGGGTTTTTTTTTCGTATATCTCAAGAAAAAGGTCAGTTCTTCACCAACTACTAAGTGCATTTGTACAACCCAAGAATCGTTAAATTAATTCACAGGACTTCATTAACTGGCTGTTGTGGTACGTTGTCTGTTTTGTTTTGTGTTCTGGAGAATCATGCACCATAATTCTATGTACACAATTGTATCCAGCTATTTCATGTAAATTTAATCTTCAGTAATCTACACAAAGGAAGAGGTATATCGGCCTTGCATTTTTATTATGAGCGTTAAGCTACTCTACTTAGGTTGAAAGGTAACAATTTGCTTTTCATATTCACTTATGCGTTTATGTGTATCCACCATACTCTTTTGTTCAGTAGATGTGATGTATATAATGAGAGAAGCAGTCATAAGTTACTGATATCATGGGATTATTTTATTAATTTATTGAATAGACTGATATTTTCTGAATAAAATGCATCTTTCCAGAGTCGAGAATAATATGTGTATTCATGCACTATATCACTGATTATGATCCTAGACTAGCTGTAATAGTTTTGAGACTGGAAATCGCTAGCTATGTTTACAGAAATTTGGGAATACATGGGTCGCATGACGTTAAAAAAAGTGTTGAAATTTCCGTATTCTTATAATAAATATATTATAAACTAATTTGAAACCTCTTATTACTTAGATTAATTGGACATATAATAAAATGACAATTAAAACACTCAAATATAAGCTGAATACAAAAAAGGGGATCATCATCAATATTCGCCATGTGAATACATGGCATAATTCAAACTCTCTTATCAATGAATATATCTCAAGCTACATATCCACCAATTTTGGTGTTTTCCTCACTATTTGAAAAGTTCTGCCTTTCCGCGGGACTGCAAAATTAATCTGGATATGTAGCAAGATATATTTGAAGGTTTAATTCAAAGTAATTTGGCATTTTAAAAAGTTGCAATATCCCGAAAAATTGATCATGAAACTGAAGAACGCAATCAGGATATCAGAGAGACACAGCTGAGGAAGAAGGCGGTACGAAGAAGAAGATGGCTGTTCCAAATTCATAAGAAGCCGATGATGTGGATACTCTTACAAAAAGAGGGGACGAGGATAGCCAACGCGTCGGGAATTATGACTGGCGATATTCTGAAAACAAAACAATGTAATCATAATATCAGCCAAGCATAGTTTAAGAGATGCGGTATAGCAGATGTTCGGCTACAGCATTGCGTGCACTCACTGTGTTAGTGACCAGAGGAAATGGCCGCCGTGGATCGTTGTGTTGTGGGGGAAGAGGGACGGTGTGTCAGGAAAGACGAACCACTGGCCACTCTGTTAAGTCAGATGGAGCAGTTGAAGAGTGAGATAGACGCTCCAAAGGGGGAGAACGAAGCCCTCAGGACTGAACTCCTTCAGGTAGGTGTCCTGCCTAGCAGGACACCTTCAACGGAGGAGCAGGCGTGGAGAGTGGTTGTTTCCAAGGGGACTAGGGTCAGACTCGGGAAAGCTGACCAGGGTGTGGAGTGCAGTAACCCGTACCAGAGGTTGGAGGAAGCTGGCGGGGATGAGAAGAGGCAGGACGAGGAAGAGAAGAGGCAGGACGGTGTGGTGCCAGGAGAGAAAAGGGCAGTTGTTCAAACCCTGCCCAGTGGTAAGGTCGTGGTAGTTGGGGACAGCCAGGTGAGGTTTTTATATAGGACTTTTTGTGCAAGAGATAGCAGACGTAGGGCTAAGGTGTGTTTTCCTGGGGCTGGGATAGGGCATGTAGCTGAGGGGATAGATAGGGTTTTGTCAGGGGAGGGTACCAAGCCAGTAGTGTGTCTTAGTGTGGGAGGTAACGACATAGGAAAGGTTAGGAGTGAGGAACTTTTCAAGAGGTATAGGGAGGCGCTGGGGAAGGTTAGAGATAGGAGAGGGATCCCGATAGTATGTGATGTCTTGCCTAGAAGAGGAGTTGGTCGTGAATGGCTGTCCAGGGCAATTGCTATAAATTGCCGACTGGAAAAACATTGTGCAAAAAATGGTTGGGCATTCATTGATAACCGGCAACCATTCAATGGCAACGACTACCTGTACAGTCGTGACGGAGTACACTTGTCTCGTGCGGGGGTAAAGACGTTGTCTGCATCCCTAGAGCGTGAAATTGTCACTCCAAATGGGGGGGGGGGGTGCCAGTAGAGAGAGGTCGGGGTAAGTAGGAGTCAAAAAACAAGCAGGCCCTGGGAAGTAAAATTGGTTACTCAGGACAAGGGGTAAAACAGGACCAGGGAAGGGTAGGTTTAAATGTATTCTATACAAACAGTCGGAGTGTTAGAAATAAAATAGACTTGCTGAGAGCAGTTGTATGTACCGAGAATGTAGACGTCATAGCAATCACCGAAACTTGGATGAATCTGGTGAGCAAATTTTTTTTATCAGAGTACCACATAGAAGGGTACAACCTTTTTCACAAGGACAGGAAGGTAGGAAGGGGGCAGGGGTCGCACTCTTCGTCAGGGACACATTATTATATTGTATTAATAATTCATGAAAGGGTGAAATAGGAAGAGAGTCTGTATGGGTAGAAAGTAAGGAAGGAAGCGAAAAACTAATTATGGGAGTGATTTACAGGCCCCCAAGTCTTGCGAAAGAAGCAACTCAGCCCACATGGCAGGAAATGAGAAGGACAGCAAAATACAACAACCTGTGCATTATGGGGAATTTTAACTTCAGAAATATTGACTGGGATAACATTGTAGGTGACTTTTAATATGAAGACTTCCTAGACGCAGTGCAGGACAATTTTATGAAACAACTAATTACAGTAGGGGAAGAACTAGGTAACAATGATCACAGAGAAATCAGGTTCATCCTAAATTGGGAAACGAAAAACAATGACAATATGGTCAGAGTCCCAAACTTTCGATTGGCTGATTATGAGGGGTTAAGAAGGTACCGAGGTGATCTCACCTGGGAGCAGTCAGGTCAGTCTCCAGTAGGAACGGGTGAGGTCACAGGTGACACAACAATTGATCAGGACTATAATATATTCACTCATATACTACATAAAGCACAAGAACAAAATATACCATACAGAAAAATTAGGTCAAATAAGAATGAGCCATGGTGGATGACCAGAAAACTTAAACATGACATAAGAATAAAGAAAGGAATTTATAAGAAAATAAAGGGAGGGGAGGAGCAGCTCAGAAATAGGTATAATGAACAATCTAGGAATGCTAAGAAAATTATAAGGAAGGCAAAGAGAGACTAAGAAATCAGGATAGCAAGAGAATCCAAGGCGAATCCCAAGGGATTTTTCCAGGTATATAGGACAAAGGTCAAGGACAAAGTTGGGCATTAAAAGTCAGGGAGGGGAGAAGTGATAAATGGCAGTGAAGAAATAAGCAAAGCATTGAACAACTACTTCTTATTAGTTTTCACAGAAGAAATTCACGAGGAAATGCCAGAGGTGGAACTGATATTTAGGGGAAATGAAGAAGAGAAATTAAAGAATATCACTATCAGAAAAGAGGATGTTCTTAAGAAGATAAATAAATTAAAGAAGACAAAATCTCCAGGGCCGCATGAAATTTTCCCTTGAGTCTTGAAAGAGTGTAAGGAACAGATTAGCAGACTCCTCGTCAATTTATCTACAAAATCATTAGACACTGGAAACAGGCAAATGTAGTATCCATATTCAAAAAGGGAGACAAAGCATGAGCGTCAAATTACCGGCCGATCAGTTTGACGTCAATAGTGGGGAAATTTCTTGAATCAATTATAGCAAACATCATCCGATCGCATTTAGAGAAAAGCAAATTAATCTACGAATCTCAACATGGGTTTACAAAGGGAAAATCTTGTCTAACAAATCTGCTGACGTTTTATAGGAAACTCTTCGAAACAGTAGTTAACGACTAAAATTACGATGTTATTTACTTAGACTTTAGCAAAGCATTTGACAGAGTACTGTATCAGAGGCTTCTGAGAAAAGTTAAGGCTCATGGTATCAAGGGGAAAGTTTTAAATTAGATAAAATCATGGCTCACCGATAGAATGCACAGGGCCAGCATAGATGGTGTTAAATCTGAGTGGGTGCTGTGTAACCAGTGGGGTTCCCCAGGGGTCAGTACTGGGCCCACTCCTGTTCATAATCTACATAAACGATCTAGTTACTGGGATCAGCTGTGACACAAGCAAGTTTGCGGATGACACCAAAATAGGGCGGCAGATTAATTCAGGGCAGGATGCAAATGCCCTACCGGAGGATTTAAATAAACTGCAAGAGCGGTCAGAAAAATGGAAAATGAAATTCAACACCAGCAAGTGCGGCATACTTAATATTGGAAGAACAAATATTGTCAATGTATACACCCTTAACAACATTACTCT